AGAGGGGGCAGAAGAGCAGACGGGTCACCTGATGGAAAGTGACCATTGCCGCCCATGAACGTCTGCAACTCAGGAGTCACAAACGCGTTGCCGGCATTTTAGGAAGGCATTTTATTTTAATAAGATACAGATGACTTGAGAAAACAAAAAGAAATATAATACTCTCAAAAAAAAAAAAATTTACAGGCCTGTCGGGGTAGTGATTTGTGATACCACTAGCCCTGCTAGGCTGACGACATGGGTTCGATTCCCACCTATAGTAAATATATGTGTGATGAGCAGGATCCTTTGTTCTGTGTCTGGGTGTAATGTAAACCAGCTGTCTTACCGACGATTGTTGTCAATAAATATTGAGATAAAAAGTAGCCCATGTGCTTTTCCAGGCTATAATCTATGTCTGTGCCAAATTTAATCCAGATCCGTTAAGTCGTTTTTGTGTGAAAGAGTAACAAACATCCATACTAACTTTTGCCTTTATTATATTAGTAAGATATGTATGTATTCTGATATTTATAAGTGATATTATTATTTATAAGTGATATAAGTGATATATTTTTGTAAGTAATAAGTGATATTTTTACAAGTCGGACTTTACAGCTAGATAGAGCCAGTGTTTCCTCAGACTCACTTTGGGAAGAAACGCTGAAACAAACATCAGAGGAATCTTTTTTTAGTCCGTAAAGAAAGTTAAAGAAAACTGTTCGAGTACAGTGGTAGGTCTTTTGAAGAAAGGACTAAAGTTTTGAGTCATCCTGTCCATACAGACGGCATACGGGCTCGACTCAGCCATCGAGTAGCTTAACCGATACAAGTATGTTTATCAGCAGTTTGGTTACCATAGCACAGGCCCTGCCTAGTTTGGTACTCAACGACCTTGTGTGAGAATGTTAAGTTATTATTATTATAAGTTATTATTTATCTCCAAAAGACTTGTAGTCATACTAAACTTAAACTTGATTAAAAGTTGACACACCTTAGACAGATTACACCCAGACACAGAATAAATGGTTGTGCTCTTTACACAATTATTTGTCCTGGGTGGGAGTCGAACCCACGACCGTCTTAGCCGTCAGGATCGCTAACCACTAAACCATCAGGCCCACCGAGGTGACATAATACTCTGTCATGATGTGGGGAATTGACGTAGCAATGGGCCATATTTATTACGTAGGTTAGGTAAACAAAAAAAGTATGTGATAAAATACATATTACATAAGCATATTTATTAGGGTATGTATGGGGGGGGGCAAACGAGCATACTGGGCCTCAATCCTGCTATTTAACGGCAAGCCACTGTCATTCCATTGACACGCTATTTAGATACCACTGACATAGGTCCAACTATCGGTATTCTACTATACAATAGACTGTCGATATAATAATAAAGGTCATCAATAGTGATATCAACAACATTGGATATCATGAAAATTAAATATTTTATTTTCTTACAAATTTAAAATGTACCGTTTACCAAACTTTTACAAAGACATCGACAACTTTTGTATCAGTAACGTCATCTGGAGGCCATTGGTCTGACATAGTTAGTAGAATAAGAAAAGCTTAAAACTACTCCGATGACATTACATCGACAGTCATTTGATACAATATTAAAATAGCAGAATTGAGGCCCGGGTTTCTTCATGGTAAGTGATTTTCGCCGCCTATGAACATTTGCAACTGAAATAAATATAAATGGGTTGGCGAATGTGTTGTCTTGAATTGCCCCAACTTTATCTTTTCTCTCTTTCTTTTGACAAGTTATTTTGTTATACCAAAAGATTACATTTTTTTTAAGTCTTGTTAACAGTTTTTGAATAACAATATGTCTAGATTATTAACCCTCTCAAATGAAATTAAATAACGGCGCATGGTTTAGTAAATCAACTATGAAATATTGTTAGAGCCATCTGAACACGCCCCAATAACTCTTAATGTTTCATAGAACTGATAAAAATGTATATAAAAACTTATTAAAGATGAACGCTTTACGCTGTTACTGAGAAGCTGTTACGATTGCTACAAACCACTTAAAAACTGCAAGTTGCCCGCCTTTCCCTACAAATGGAGCTTTACCATGCCTGTTCAGAAGTAAAAACCCTATACTGGACAATTAAAACCGATATTTGCTGCTGTATTTATATTAGTACCTCTGTCGCACTTATGTGTAGGGTATGGCTATTGGGAATAATAGATATACCTAGTAACGTTTTATTATGACACTGAAATAATGAAAACAGATTACTTAATAAACAATGAACAACACAAACTTTCAATTAAAATATCTAAGTTAGTATTTGATGTTCCAAAGATTTATGACCCGTCAAATGTTGACTTGTCAACATTGAACTTTTCAAAGTTCCATTTAATTTGTTTTTTTCACTTCCAGGTTTTACTTAATTGAAAAATTCATTTTAACCTTATTTCATTCAATTAAAAAAAGCCAAATCCGGTTCTAAAGTTCCACGGTCAGCATTTTATTTTATTTATATGTTTGCAGATAGAATAGGAAAAATTACATGTTCTTCCCTTATATTTCAATTGGAACTGGCCCCCTTAGTATATTAGATTATTTCTGGTGCGGTACAGGTCTAAGCTCCATAGAAATTTAGCGGGTTGACAAAATTCGAGTGATAAAATCAAATAGAAAAAAAAACACTACAATGATATTAAATATAAGGCTATTTTTATCAGTTCTAATTAAATGAAAAAATGTGATAATAATAATTAATATCACTAAATATTACAGAAAAACGCAGTGTTACCACACTACAAAATTCACTTACAACTAATCTCTAAAGTGGACAAATTTTTATTAACCCATTGTGGCCTTGACTATAAGTGCATACCTTTACCAAAAAAAAACCTAGCAACACTGATATTATATTTTTATTCCTAAATTAATTACTGCTAGCAACTAAAACACATCTCTGGAAATGTCAACCTAATTTCACATGTAATGCTATCTTATTAGAGTTTTTAATTACTTGCATTCTATAGCTTAGGCATATTTTGTAGCTGTTCCCTTTAATTAGATTGTGGGCTTCCTCGGGACTCGTACATGGTGTTGCCAGAGTGAAATGACTTAAAAATTATTGGTAGAAAAACATATTGACACTTATCACATTAAAAAGTATTCTAAATAACATCTATACATAAAAAATACAACATTTAAAACATTAATATCTTGAAATTTGTTTATTTAAAAACATTACTTAATTAGTAAAATACCATTTAAATGAAAAATCATGCTTTTACCCAATTATTTTACACACCTTACTAATTACTAATTTACTAATATTAATACCCTCTACTCTAGGACGGACCATGAGGTCCAAAGAGAAGTCTATTTTTAGTACATTTAAACCAATCACTCGAAATATGAGGTACAATGACAGCAACACTATTATATTATGAAAAACTACTTATAATAATGTGGGTAATATATTACAAGTAATTTTTTAGTTTCCAAATATTGTCAAAATACAGCAATAAAAATTTTGCTAACCCGGAAAAAGTTATTCCTTTTGAAAGATAGCAGATGATTAATATACTGTAATATCTTACTTTTTTCAATTTAGCAAGATTTTTCATGGATGCAATGCTATGGGTCACAGCGTGATGTCATATAGCCTATAGCCTTCCTCGATAAACAGGCTGTCTAATACTAAAACATTTTTTCAATTTGAACCAGCAGTTCCTAAGATTAGCAAGTTCAAACAAAATAATAAACTCTTTAGCTTCATAATATTAGTATAGAAATTTACACTTCAGTGATGTATTATATGGCATTAGTGACTTTAGTGGTTTTCTTTTTTCTTTTTCTTTTCTTTTTTAACAAGACAACTACCTCATTAGGAATATATCCTGTGTCGCGGGGGACTTTACAAACACACATGAAACAGACACAGAGAACACCCAGACTCACCCAGCAATTTGTGGATTACACAAAGTGTTGTAGTAGTGAGCGGCGTGGCGAGCGCTTAAACCACTACGCCATCCGTGCAGTTTAACAACTAAATGGTAAAACAACCATAGTGGTTGTCCCAAGACTGGCTGCATGCCATCGAAACAAGTGCTAACAGGTCTCAATATACCAAAACCTGCTCCTTGGAGTTGGTTTTACTTGCCCTGACTGACTGATTTATCAATACAGAACCCAAACTGCTGGGGCTACAAACTTGAAATTTTGTAAATACCCACTAAGAAATGATTTTCGGAAATTTCTCCCCTGAGAGGGTAAAGTCAAGGAGGAATGATTGTATGGGAATTCATCATTTTCAAAGTGAGAAACACGAAATACAAAATAATGACGCGACCGAAGCCGCCGGCAATAACTTGCATGGAACAAGACCTATTTCTTAGCGTTCCATGGTTCACAGTGCGGGTGTCGGGTCCATCGCATGATAGATGGGGGAATCTGAGAATTGCGACCCAGGAGTAGGTTTAGGGAGTACTCCTTGCGACGCGTCAGAGTTCACCTCCACTGTCTGCTGTGTTACCTGTGTCGTGTGTTTTACAGGAGATTATCTACAGTGTTGGTTATAAAAAAATTCTTGCTAACTGCTATATGTCTATGAACACTGTTGGGATTGGGATTGTTGTACCGGCTTATTTCTCCAGTAGTTCGTTATCCTGACTGCTTTGGCTACTGATCGTAGGTTTGATTAGGAACCAGGCCTAATGATCTTGATTATCTGTGCCAGACTGAAACTTCTCTATTTATTTAGAAATATGTATTTTATCAACAGTTTTTACTAAAGTACAAGCTCCAGTATGTGGGAAGTGTCAAGTTATTATGATTTAAACAACTGAAATGATGAGTATGGACCTGAACTCTGACTTTGAATCTCAACACAAGAATTTGGAACATAGTTGAAAGAATTAGCAAAACCGTCAGTAATATAACCCACAATACTTAAGTCTTAAAAAATTACTTTAAACCTGCCATTATACCTCAGATTAGCACAACAGACACACACACTCAAACACACCACACGTACCTGCTCAATCGTCTATTAGTGGCTGATGACCGAATTTCTGGCTCAGACTGTGTAGACATGGATGTCTCCATAGGATTGTCTTCGGAATCCAGCATCTGGATTTGAGTTTGCCGTACAAAGACACCATAGTTTTCTTCACACTGAAAACAAGGAATATGGAAACAATTATTATTATATTACCATAAGAAAGCCATGACAAGAGCACTGCAAAGAGAAAGAAAACTTGAAAGAAATCCTATACCAACCCGTCTGGTTAATGTGGTATAGTACACCAAAATCTCCTTTCTAAAGTGAAGCCTATGTCCAGCAGTGGAATACTAAAAGGTGTTGATGCTGATAATGATAATGAGAAAGCCATAATTCTTGACATTGGCATTCTCCATTCACTAAAGAAGATTTTAAATACTTGAGAAAACTTTCATTCAGGATATGACATTTGTAATTCGGCTTAATAAGTGACAATATGTAAGACACTGGTATGTACTTTACAGTTTAAACATCCATAAAATAATCAATGTTTTAAGTATATTTTATTATTAAAACCTTATTCTGTTCTGGAAAAGGGCTGACAATTTAAAAATTACAGTAATTAGATATATTTTAATTGCCATTTAAATCTACTTCTGTATTGTGCACTATGAACACTATGCAGGCACTATGAACAGACCAGATTGATTTATAATTGTTACATTAACATAACAAAAATGTAGAAACCTGTATGTAGAATTTTAGAAGCTCGTAAGTATACCTACTACTACAAATTAATTAGCCTGACCTGGTTAGCAATTGTGACTATATCAAGCCAAAGGTTGTGGGTTCTATTCCCAGCCAGGACAAATAATTTTATGATGAGCATGATCATTTGTTCCATGGCTGTGTGTAATTTAGCTATTATTTGTATATATTTAGTTATCATACAACTGGTAGTGCCTACTTTGGGATCAGACGGCCGTATGTGAAATGCGTAGAGTTATTTTTATTAAATTTACTATTATTAATATTTTAGCTATATAGATAACTAACAGCCTATTTATGAGGAACATTTGAAACTTACGGTAAAGTAAGCGTGGCCGCGGACCGTACCATTGTTCTTGCCTTTTGCTTCATCTAAAATAACACCAATCCACTTCCCGGTTGCAAAGGTAGGATAGCCGACATAGGCTACAGACCCCTTCACGTCTTTACCTACCACTATTACACGCTGCCCAAGAGTTAGAAGCTTATTATCCGACATTTTTAACTTTTTATTCACACTGAAAACCATTATAAGAAAATGAAAGTACTGAATAAAGGTAAAGAATAAAATTAAAAGAGTACAGAGTCAGACTAGTATTGTTCAGAGAATGCTTTCACCTTATTCAAAAAAGAATAAATGTTACCAACATACAATCTAATTATTATTCTAGAACATATTTTTATAGCGGTAAAGTTTAAGTTTATTTGAGTATTAGCTGGAAATTCAGGAAAATAACAGTACAGGTGCAATGCAGAAATTTCTGAATTTGTGTTGTCAACGAATTGTCAAATTGGGAAATTGCTCATCGACGTTTCGATATTGCTTTAAATATGCCACAAGATCAATAAACAAGTAAACGTCATAAAGTACAGTAAACAATTCATGATATTAAAGGTATTTAGATTTAAACAATGATGTATATTAAAAGTGATAGTCAGGATTTTGTAAAATTACAAAGTATCGAGGTAACATAAGAAAATGTTGGTTTTGGTAGGTAATGTAAACAAGATGATTTGTCGTCACTTGAGTTTTAATTGTAGTTATCACGCATTTCACGCTATGAGCGGATGGGAGCGAGGCCGAAAAATGTGTAACAAGACTTTTTGTCGACATTATAGCAAACGTCGCCTACTATAAAGCGAAAGGATCTTCGTTCCGACCGAAGGTCCATAGCTCAAGCCGATTTTTTATTCAGTAATGGATGACCGAACTCCAGATTTCCTATAAAAACTGAGGCGTCTTATTGAAGAGCCTGTTTGTTCCTTTCTTCGACCCTATTATAAAATCCATTCTTATTTTATGTCTATTACCTGACACATACCAGTTTTCTACAGCACTTTGATCCGATAAGACGATAGGACAATGGGTCCGCGATGATGATCATCTATTCAAATGGTTCAGTTTAATTAAAACATCGTGATCGACTTGATCGTGATTTCCATACAAAACAAGTAGTTTTTAGATATTTCCATTTTATTTATTCATTTATTTAATAACTTTATGCACATAAGTACAATGGCGGACTTAATGCCTTAGGCATTTTCTACCAGTCTACCTTAGGGTGGTGTGGAAATGAGTGTGGAGGTGCACTGCCCTTTGGTTGAGAATTATGAAGTGGACATAAAAGAAGTAATGTTAGCAATACTGTCTCGCACAGAAGGAGAAGAGAAAAAAAATGAGAAAAAGCAATGAAATAATATAAAAATAACAACGTATACATACAAGAATACATACATTCATATTCATATATATAGGTTTAGGTTTAAAATGATTCATATATTGTGTTATATATATACACATACATATATACCATAATATATAAAGTCTCATATTTGTGATGATTCTGCTACATTCCGGTCAAGGAGAGCCTGCACCTTCGCTCTAAACGAATTACGACTGGTCGCCATTCTGATATCCTGGGTAAGAGCATTCCATAGAAGTACCTACAGATTGAGTGAGGAAGGAAGAATGAACACACGCAGAAGTGTGGGCAGGGCATAAGAGTAGAAGATTATTTGTAGAGCGAAAGGTTCTGTTATGATTGGAGCACAAGAACTGGAAGAAGGATGTCAAGTATGTAGGCGAGTTAGGAGAGTTGAGAATAGTGTAGAGAGTCGTTAGTGCCCGCAGGTGACGACGCTGACGAATTGGAAGCCAATTTAATTTAAGACGAAAAGAGGAAATATGATCATATTTACGAAGATTAAAAATGAATCGAATGCAGTTATTAAGAAGACGGTCGTATTTGTTGAGGAGACCTGCATTCAGGTCGTAGTAGCACACATCACCATAATCTATAATGGGAAAAATTAAAGGTTGTACCAACATCGCTTTAATCTCGGAAGGTAAAAAATTCTTGAGTCGGTATAACACCCGCAGGGTTCCTGTAACTTTCTGGCAGACATTAGTAACCTGGGTTTGCAAATTAAGGTTGCAATCAATGAACAGTCCCAAATCCTTCACAGTAGAAAAGGGGAATGATTGATCCGTTAAATACTAGGGATGGTAGTTTTTCTTGATCTAGTCTTCTGGTCATACGTGGACTGCCCAAGATGATAGCCTGGCACTTTGTAGGGTTCACAGTCAAACCGAACCTATAGGACCAACCGCTAATAGTGTCCAGGTCACCGTTTATCATGGCAATAGCCTCCGTTATATTATCTACAGCAGCATTATAGTAAAGTTGCAAGTCATCAGCATAAAGATGGTACGCACATTGAAGATTCTGAGTGATGAGATTAATAAAAATAGAAAATAATAGTGGAGAGAGAATGCCGCCTTGGGGGACACCAGAATCAAGATCACACCATATGGAGGTGGATTCGTCGACACGGACGGTCTGCTGGCGCCCTTAAAGATATGAAGAGAACCATTCCAGTACATCAGATGACATCATATGATAGGAAAGGATAGATAGAAGGACATCGTGACTAACGGTGTTAAAAGCATTTAAGAAATCAATCAAAGCCAACACGGTAACTTTGGAGTCCTCAATTCCTGCCCGAATGTCGTCAGTCACTTTCAGGAGTGCAGAAGTTGTGCTATGGCCAGGCCTAAAGCCCGATTGAAAAGGGCTTAGTAAATTAATCCGATAGATAAATTGTGATAACTGTTGATGTACACACGTCTCAAGCACTTTGGATAAGAAGGAAAGTATGGAAATTGGGCGTAAGTGATTTATAAGGGTCGGGTTAGAGACCTTAAGGAGGGGTATTACAAAAGCACTGAAGGGAGCAGTGAAGGGAAAGTCCCTAAATTCACTATATGCGTAAGCGCGGGAAGGAGATGTTCGAGGATAGGTGTGATCATACGACGGTTTGTGTTGTCACTTCCCATGGCGTTGGACTTAATGGAGAGGATTATCTTTTTTATGTCATCTGATGCAACTGGAGAAAATTGAAAGGAATTAATATTTGGGCGAGGAAGGTCAGCCAGGTACTTAAAAGTGAGTCACTTTGTTTGGTGATCAAATTTTATTTGTTTTTATATGAGTTTTAGCGAGACTCGGACAATCTCGATCAGTCTCTTTATTCTCTTAGGAGCCAAATTTTAACTATTTGCATGTATACATATTTAAAACTGGGGTTCATTTTGATTTTTGAGAAAATTGCTGCAACTGTGAACATTGCACTTGCTTCATAAAATTGAGTGACATTTCTCTACAGACAGTTTTAACAATTGAATAGAAAAAACTGCATAATCAGCAGTAAAGAAGTACATGTTAATAGGTTTATTCTAGATTAGCTGGCTCACCGGGCTTTATCTGCATAGAATAAGTACTTCTGGTAGTCTATTTATAGTCTACATTTTCGTCAATCTCTGGCTCGATTGAGTATTGTATTAGTGTGTTGGTCTTTAGGACATTCTACTTATTCCACTTCATTCTACTTATACTATTTTAACATCTAACAGTACTACATATCTAGCTCACTTTCAAACAAAACATCATACTGTGGATGCAGTTAACGTGCTGTTATCTACTCGGCATACAATAATAAAAACAGTTTGCAGGCTGGCTGGCGGAGGCCTTGCGAGGCGGTGCCGTTCTCTTACCACCTACCCTCTTCGAATTTAATTTTTGTATCATGTACCTACTTTTGTAGCAAAAGGTGTACTTACTATTTACTAAATGTCAATGATAACGATGCTCAGAAAAACTCGAATGAGTTTATGTAGTATCTAAGCTTGCGTACCGATTTTGTAACTAATATTAAAATAAATAAATAAAAACAAATAAAAAGTAATTATTAAAATACTAACTATTGGCCCTTTTACTAATAAAAAGTACATTTAAAATGAAAGTGAAAGAATTTTTAAAATCTGTTTAGTGGTGGTGTAAAAGCGTAACAAACAAACTCACTACTACTAAACTACAATTTAAGTGTTGCAGTATATTTTGAAAAACAACCTATCTATACTAATATTATAAAGCTGAAGAGTTTGTATGTTTGTTTGTTTGTTTGTTTGTTTGAACGCGCTAATCTCAGGAACTACTGGTCCGATTTGAAAAATTCTTTCAGTGTTAGATAGCCCATTTATCGAGGAAGGCTATAGGCTATATATCATCACGCTAAGACCTATAGGAGCGGAGCACCAATGAAGAACGTTTAAAAAACGGAGAAAATTTATTACTATTGAGAGACGCAGACGAAGTTGCGCGGGTCAGCTAGTAATAAATAAAAGGATAGTTTAGACGATGCAACATATTTCTTCTTTTCATACTTTTTGGATTTAATTTTTTTCAGCACGGCAATGGCCAAACTTCCAGACCATGTTTATGCTATAGATACTCGATACATTGGTACTGTTCTGATTTAAAGAAAAATATGTTTTGTTATTATTATTAACATTATATTGGTTTTAGACAGACAGTAGACAGAGGTTTATACTTAAACTTATACAAGGTTTTGACGTGATATGCGATGGACATGCGATATATTATGGTCTGAATTTTAAAGCTATAATTAGAAAATTATAATTTGTAGAAATGAGAACTGTTTAGTTGCTTAGTAAGTTAACTTAATATTAGCCTGGCAGATTTGAGTTTAACATGGTGGCCTAGAAGTCTAACCAATTGTAGCGTTCATATCTTTCTTTTTAGTTCTCTTCAATCATGTTTGAGAACGAGTTTCGTAAGTTGGGGCAGGGGATCTCATAGTCTTAAATAAAATAGTAGTATTTGCGCAACTGTTTATACATAAAAATAACAAAACATTTCATTCGGTTTTACATGCGATCATTATATTTAGAATAAAGCGTGTAATTTTAGGCAAAAAGGCAACTAGCTCCACTATGAACTTATTTCAAATGACTCCGAAGCCTAATAATATTAAAAAAAAAACTTTTTTTTTTTTAATATTTGATTTAATGAAGGATATTCTGCCTTTTATCTCGAAAACAATACTGCAAAGTGTTAGAAGCCGCGGCAAAGAAGCTAGTTATTAATAATAGGTATCTTAATTTTGCTAAATTTCTAGCTTAGTTTATCTTCCATGTTA